TCCACCCCTCTCTCTTTCATATTAATTAATTTGCTCGAGAGTTTTAACGACTTATTGCACTTCAATTAACTCATTTTAAATTACATAATCCCCACACCTCGGGGGGCTAGAAACCGGTACCCGCGATAAACTGCAACGTACTCTCGCTCCTACGCCACGAGAGACCGCGACTGGTCGTGTTATGCACGTATTAAGTGCACAGTAGTCAGGTATAACTTTGTGTATTTCCTATACGGCCTATTGATTTCAACCCGAAGTAATCATTGCTAACGACCTGTTTCATTAACGTCACTTTTAACGTGAACAGTAATTTAACTGGCCCTCTATCAGGCTACGAGTCAAGCTCAATTAGCTGATAAAAGGTAAAAAAATTAAGATCGACCGTAAAATTTGCAATTAAATATAATTATCCTCAGAGAAATGCGACGTACAATACAAATCAATAATGTAGAGTTTACGTGGGGAGCGGAGAGAGAGAGAACAGACTGTTATTCAGGAGACCACGCGTACAATCCCCGGAAACGTTTCAAAAAGTTGAGAATCGAGACGGGGGGGTGGAGGCTCGCATAGAAAGTCAGAGCTCGCTGCCGCGGGGGTGGCGGACCGCGACCGATCTGAAAGGAACGAGCCGAAGTTTGCGGAGGGGCCCCGGGATCGCCTGGAACTCATTCGTAAGCGAAGACCGATCCTGCCCGTAATTACAATTCGAACAAAGTTATGCCGGTTCGGAGCGGCGGAGGATGTGTCAAGTATTTAATCAGTGCCGGGCTGAGTCTCTGCGTGAGACAATGGGTGGCGACCAACTCTCTCTTATACTAAAGCTTGTCCTCACCCCGTCGCGACATCCCTCGCCCTATAGCGTTCGTCGTCTACTTCTAGTGCGACTGCGGGTGCAATTATGTCGACCTCATTTTAGAACAGCTTTACCTCTCTTTCCGCGCATTGTACGGTTCCTCTATATCTTCCTCCTCCTTCATCGGATCTCTCGCATGCTCTTCGTCCGCTTTTCCCCTTTCCTTCATGTAAAATCTCGCATACACACACATACACTCTCTCTCTCTCTTTCTTTCTCACGTACATTCTGGTCTTTTATGTCTCTTTTTCATATTACTCTGCATTCAATTACATTTATTTTTAGCGTATACGTGAAAGAGAGTTTGTGGAAACGTAACAGTATCCGCTTCGCAGATTGTATTTCGTCTGTATTCTAAAAAATGATAGTGACACATGAACAATCTACGTCTACTTAAGCGGCATTTTTGCGACGAAATTCGAAAAATAAAAATAGCTCGGTGGTATTTCGTTTGTAATCTTTGGTATCTGATCGCGCGGGAGGCATGCTACCCCCTGCGAGCTAGTACATCTACCCCTTGGTATTCGCCATCTCGATATACGGCAGCGACGTCTGTTCCTCGAATCACGCGCGGTCCGTACAAATTCCCGAGCTACACGCAAGCTGCACGTCAGTGGCAAAGAAATCCGTTAACTAGCTAAATAATTACGTCGTTTTTTTCCGGTAAAGTCTAAGCCTCTTAGAGTCAGCATTTTATCCTGCACTGTGTTTCTTACATTATTCTACGTTTTTAAATCGACATTGATAAATGTAATCAGTCTGCAAATATCATTTAGTATTTTAAGTAGTTTCACATTTTGGGGAGAAAACCGGGTGCTGTTATTTATCAGTAACTAATCTGTGTAACATAATTATATCTATTGGAATTGTCAGTAACGAATCTATGGATATGTGTAATCTAATTACATCTATTAGAATTGCTATACCGTTTAATTTAAAGCACAAATTTGTCTCAATTAGAAACAACGTTGTTAATTGGGGCCTTTAGGTTATTAAAAGTTTTGAACGTACTTCAGTTATTGGCACAAGGAAGTATCAGATATTTTATTAATATTAGACGCGCCCTTAATGAAGCGTTTGAAGCAAATCCGCTGGAAATGAGCACATTAATAATATTACAAAATATATTAATGCGTGCCTGTACGCGTGAAACGTTTTACAACTAAACGTATTCCTGACGAGAATGACGTGTATGGAATATAGAGCGTAACGGCATTGGTTTCCCCACGTGTATTGCTCGCGTGCGGTTACACAAATATGGACGAACGCACTCCAAATTAAGGTTTAGAGAGTTGGTACAAATCAGTATCGAAGTTATGGACGTGCCGAGCTGGTAAATCTAAATCCCTCGCGATTGTCTGTCAATTATTTATGATTGGCGGCAATTTGTCCAATCGAGAATAAGCCCTTTCCTACTGGATGGGGTTTACCGAATGCCATTCAATGTTTCGGACTGTATTATCCGTTTCTCTTCTGCCGTGTTTTTCTCGTCTGCGTGCAGCGCGTGGACATGTGTTTATAAAAAATCTAAAGGAAAACAATTAAACTCACGTTTCTCGAAACATCTACATTGAATAGGAACGTTATCGCGTACAAACTGCGCATTGGTGTGAAGCATAGTTTTTGATAACAAAACGTTGCGTTATACTGAAAATTCAATCGGGGTCACGGAATTTCCATTTAAATTGTATTTTTGCACGGGATATAAATGTGCGCTGCAAACCCAATTAATTAATTCTGACAATCAGTCCGATCCTCTTCATCGCGGAACAACATATCAGGCGCAGCGACATTTCAATAGACATTACGTTATTGCAAAAGGTACAAAGGTAACAACGCAACCAAGGATAATATTGACGCTATTTCCAGCCAAACAATTTAGAAAGTTGAGACAAAACCGCTCGACTTGTAGCACTTTAGAAAAAGAAGCCGGACTTTTCAGCTTCATTCCAACCAACGATAAGCAACCGCGTAAAAAGCTTACTCGCGTGACACGTATGGGAGTTTTTATTTTTAAGCTCGAGCTTTCTTAAAGTACCGCAGCTCTGATACTACCCTCCCGTTTTTCGCCATTTTCTATTTATTTCAATAAGTTGGTAATTAATCAAATAGTACCTGAGTTAACAAAACATTTCCGATAGCTCATCGGCGAGATCGCAAGTTCATACAACGGCGCTGATTGAAATAACGCGCACCAATCTCGTGTATCGAGTCTTGAATGGAAGCGTCGCAACACGGCGTTAATTAAGCGAAACGAGAAAATTAATGACGACTAACTTTCGGCGCGCTGAATTACGCGCGCCCTCCCGACTTCGCCCGCGACGTGTAATCATCGCGACGATCGAGCCCCCTCATTTTTTTTTGTATCCGTCGAAATTTATTTGCGTGATGTTTCCCTAACGAGCCGTTGCGTGACGTACAGTTTTACGGGATTCAATAGAAGACCGGTCGAGTTTTTGTTCCTGCGTAGCGCTCATTTATGTGCGCCTCTCTTTTTCTGGTTACTTACTTAACTAAGTTTACGCAAAAAACTAACGTCGCGTGCGACTGCGGCGAGTTTTCTGGCGCGAACACACGTATATACGTCTATGCAACGCGGAGGAAAAAGTTTGCGCACCGCAAGTAAATTAATTGCACGTGCCGCAAAAGATCTAATTAATTTTGTTGCAAATTATTTTGGTTTCTTCATTCATATCAAACTACGGTAATACGATTAGCCGCGCTCTTTAAAAGTGGAATTTTGCAGGGTATAAATTTTATTAGGAATAACAACATTTTTTCCCCTTGAAATATCGGTAAATAAAATTTGTACGCGCAACACGGAGGAAGTAATGGGTGCCCGTGTATTTTTTTTTCTCAAATATTTATCATTTATTATATTTATATTTCTTGTATTACGCGAGAGATTAAATCATATTAAATGTATATCAATCAATTTACACGTTGTCCAACGCAATATCGTCTTTTAAGCTGCATTAATTTTTGACATGATTGAGATGAATGCGGTGTTACATTTTTCATAAAATATTTACACGTTGTTAAAGAGTTGTAAAGCTCTACGCGAGAGTTGTAAAAGCTGCGCGCAAACTTTGGCAATTGATGACTTTATCAGCGCATACATAAATCAATCGAGTTCACGGTCGTACACGATTGAATTAACGTCTAAATTCGTGATTCGACAAGATAATGCATTTCGGTAAATATGCTCTCTGAATCTGTAACCTTCGAATTACGTCATCGTGCATATTAATTGAACGAGATTGCAAGCCGTCTCCGTTCTGTCACGAATTTTCTTTCTTTTTGTTTTGTCGATTATCTGCTCGCGACACTTTGCCACGTCCTTCCGTTATACTTTTGCTTTGTCAACTGTTTTCTCTATCTTTCTCCCGTTTACGGACCACCCACGACTTTGGCCGGCCCTTCCACTCACGTCAGCTTAACGTCACTCATGCTCGTACGGCAGGTCCTTTTTGTCACACTCCGCTCTTCTGCGACTCTCCTCATTTCTCTTTGCTCTTCTTTATCCTACCGTGTACTATTTTAAAGCGCGCGTTCGAACTAACAGCTCCAGAGCGCTAAATATTCGCTAAACGTTTGCCGTACGTTCAACCAGCTGTTATCAGCTGTCATCTAACTAGCTATTTTTGCAAGAGTGACTGATTGTTAAATTAGATAATCATATTAACTCGTTGCCATTTTTATAAGAAGACACAAAGATCGTTGTCACAAAATTATCTACTTTATTTTACGGGCGTATGAGGAAAGAACGAGTTAAATGAATTGTGTTTTAACTGTTGAAACGAGTCTCGTTGTAGATGGCAGCTGCATAAAATATTAATAGCAGTAAACATTGAAAACTTATATTCTCTTCCTGTCGGTAAAGCGACGCGTTCAACGAGGAGCCGTTTATAATCCGATGTTAGAAATCTAAATTGTTTGACGCAAAAAATGCCAGTCACACTTGTTGCTCATTTAGAAGATAATCGTAAACAAGACGGGAGCCGTGTTGCCTCACCGAGATTTTTCCCGTTTCTCTGATCAAACATAATTCCTCTACTTGTAGTTTGCTCTGTAAAGTATTTCTTACGTAACATGATAATACTCGAAGTACAGAAGAGTTAGATAGACATCGCAGATAAAAACTCACCAGTCTCACGTTGACGCAGCAATTTCCACTTCGGAAGTCTAACCAAAGTCTGTCTCCCAGCGCTTTTTCCGTCCGTACTCTTCGGCCTCTATAACTCTCTCGTCATGTCACGTTCTAACTGCCTTCCCGCGGTCCCCGGAGTCTACTTTACACAGATTGCACTGCACGTCACAGCTGTCCTCCCTTTCCGTCTTCCCCTTCCCTCGTACAAACTCTTTAACAGTCGGAAAATATATCAAGGGTCCGTGCGGCAGAGCGCGAGCGAAGTCAACGCTCTTTCCGTATCGCACAATCAGTGTTCGTAAATTCGAGATCGAGGGATGGGAGATGGGCCGTTTTGGAGAACCCTTTGGAGAATCCGGGAAGACTATGAGACTCTCGCCTCGTGATCGAACATGCCGTTGTCACGTGGTCGGGAGGAGGAAGAAACTGTCTGTCATGAGAGGTTTGAACCGCTTCTTCAAAGAGGTGTTGAATTTCAAGGAATAAATGTCTCTCCCTCTCAGAAGCGCCAAGCGACGAGGCGTCTCGAGAATCCGCTCGTCTGAAAAATAACGTCGAAGACCATCGGTGGTTACGATAGTCGTGAATATTCGCGAGACAAGCGTTTCATCTAAGCGTCCTGAAACGAGATCCCTCGAGCGTATCTCGGGATGCAAGCCGCGGCACGTACGCGAGATCGACGGCCCTCCGGTTTTTCGTCCGCGCTGCCGTCCGGTCACGTGGCGGTGAGCGCCACGTTCATTGATCGCGGGCGACCTTGGTGGTGTGTGTCGCGATGTAATGAGCTCTCGGCGAGGAGGTCAGTGCATGCATGGGCCACCGCTGCGCGCCAGCCTGGACGAGCCGCGTCACCGTGGCGCGTTCGCGCCGAAAGATCGACGCACGAGCGGGTGGGCTACGACGAGGACGAGAAGTAATTCGTCCCGCGTGCGGATCGTAGGGTCGTTGCATTCGCGTGTGGTGCCCCGGTCGGCGGCACGGGTCGAGCCGAGACCACCCACGGGTCTCTCTGATGCCAACGCGCTCGTGTTTATGCTCGGGTATGAGTACGTTCTCCAGAGCTTACGAGGAGGAATACGTCCGTTCGCGAACTGTTCGCCAAACGTACTGAGGAACCCGGCGGCTGGTTCGCTGGTGACGTTGTGCCTCCGCGGGTTCGATTCCCGGATGGGCATGCGCCACGTTCTGCGCTTTCGGGGGGAGGTTGCCGCCGCCGCTGCTGCTGCTGCTGCTGCTGCTGGTGCTGCTGCTGGTGCTGGTGGTGCTGCTGTTACTGCTGCTCCTGCTGCTCGTGGAGGTGCATCCACCACTGGGAGATAGTTGCTATCGGTGGGGTTGCAGAGGGCTATCTTCCTCTCGTTCTCTGCCTACCGCGCTCCCCTTCGCTCTCGCGCCGCTCCTACACTCTCGCTTGTCTCACGCCGTTTTTCACCCTCGTCGCGTTGGCTAAATCACACTCTTCGTCGACATCTTCGTCAATTTAATTCGATCATCGTAATTATCTGCCTATGAATACATGCCGAATTTCATCGTAATTAAGATAACATTTTTATCTTTAAACGAGAACATATAGACCGATCAAGTTTTATATGTATCACTCTTTTCTCTATTCTTCTGCTTTCTTTCTCTAATCTTGATCGCTCAAAATTTTATCAATGACAAGGGAACGGGTATGTTTATCAAGCTGCCATATTTTTCCCACATTGCGTTCTCAACTTATATAAATATCTAGTTTTTATTTCTGGTAGTTGTGAAACGTAACTTTTGTGTGACATATCAATACGTTCATGGCAGCGTAGAGATATTCGTGATTGACTGCTCGATGCTGACTGCCCGTGACGTGACGAATAATTTAAAGAATTCATGCAACGCTTCCTTTTGAAGTAGATGTTATAAATTTGATAATCTATTTGGCCGGTTCCATGAAATGTCTATTTGTTACGAGGTAACAGTTCGTGAAGCGAAATGGAGGGTAATTACGACTGGCGCACTTGTTGCTCTTGCTGTTGTTGCCTTTCTGCTATTATTGCTGACGAACACATCACACGTTTAAGTATTACGTATCCTCGTTATTTTAAGAAATACGACAATTTCGTTACTATATCGTATGTGTATTTAATACTTAACTTTTAGACTGCTGACATTTTTACATTAAAATGGCGTTCCTTCTTTCCCAAAAATGTATGTACATATTGCGCAGAATCGCGCGATTTGTTAAGAGCCACAAAAGTGGCTTTTCCGGCAGTCTAAAGGTTAAGTAGTACACGCGACAATAAATAATTATTACGTTAATAACAAAAACGGTCAGTCGCTACTTGAATGGAATTCGATATCAGCGAAATCCTATCTTTCGCGATGAAGTTTCCAATAATTAAATTTTCTATAAACTTCTCGACATGCATCGTTGCTGATGCTCCGCGTAAAACGTTTCTCCGATGTGTGTCCGGCGGAAATGTGCGGCGATGTTATTTATTCGCATATTGTTTATGTTCAAATATATCGTCTCGAGTAGAATACACAACACGTGTAAATCACATTGTATTACGTTTCTGTGCTTGTTGGCATCGCGTAATTAACGTTACACGTTCTGCAATGCATGTTTCATTATGCGGGCGTTGTATCGCTGTATCGTAATTAGTAAGCTTAAAGGCAGATATTATTCACGACACGTGATAGTTATACGCGCGATAGGCTTCAAAGGATAAAGCAGAGCGCACAATTGATAGCGTGTGTGAAGAAAATCGCGCGCCTATTCACCCGGGAGACGTTCCTTGCTCCTTTTACGTTGGTGTCTTTTCCGATTTGTCTTCGTTTTCATCCTTTTTGTTTTCACTTGTACACACTTTTACTCCGGAATCGATGATAGAGGAAAAATCATTCTTAATTAAAATGAAGATATCTTCCAACAAATACAATGGAATTCTTGTCGATAGCCGCATCAATTAGAATGCATATGCGAAGAGCCGAAAGCGTATTTATCCGCACGATTGAAACACACGAGAGAAAATAACGATTAAAGAAAAGTCTTTAGAAATTATAACGAAAATCTGTCTCGATAATGAGGCTGCAGCGTATTGCGTTGCAAGAAAGATTCATCTTCAATTACTTCTGTTTGGCTATTTTTATGAAAAAAAAAAAAGATTTCTCTTACCACAGTTCCATAAACACACATGAGCACACGTTGCCGTAGGAATCAACATTAATACGTCGCGTTCTTATAATTGCATCGTGTAATTAACGAATGAATTTGGTCATTTAATTTCGGCGACGGTGCTTTGCGGGCAACGCCGGATTTTACCCGGCTTATAACTTTCTAATGTCCGTCACCGAAATCTCAATTACCGAGCATAACTTGAGAAGTAGCGTCAGCTTCCACGGTGGCAATCGCGCCAACTTCCGCCATACGTAGAGGTACATACGTCGGCGTTTCCATTGGTCGATCGGGCATGAATTTAGACGGTGTGCCCTGGATAACCCCGGAGATTGAGACAATATACGTCGGCTGTGCCGCTGCGGTTTGCCGTTGCAGGAGGTACAGCGGCTCCGCCGACGGCCCGGTTCGCTGCGCGGCCGAGAGAACGAGAAACCCAGTTAACCCCGGCAGGTTGATTACGGTGCGGCAGGTGTCACGCGCTCAACTCCACCAAGTTTCGTCTAACCGTGCGAAATATCTTGCGAATTACGAGTACCGGCGGGAGTTACCGGCGCGATGCCGCCCGTTCGCGCATCTGCCGATGCCGCAGTTAATTGCACTTGCGACAGGCGCGCACCTTCTGTCCTTGCAACGTCAACACGGGGTCGAAAGGGTCCGCCGCAAGTGCACTTGGCGCGCGCCGCAGAGCGCTCGCCCTTTTTGCCGGATCGCGCTGTATCCGTACGGCGCGCGGCACAATAACGTGGCCCGACGAAGCACAAGCGCAAATTTGTATGCGGAATCGATATACATGAATGTGTACGTGAATAACGTTAGCGGTAGTAAATCAAATTTCTCTTTTTTTTTGGATTGGCATTGTTGCGCGATAAAAATTAATTAAAATTGGAAACGGTGGATTAGAGGAAGGGAACTCGTCGAACACAAATGTAATGCCGCTCGCGGTTTTTCGGGTTATCAGGTCAACTCATTATCTCTCTCAGGCCAAGGACTGAGTCGTAATAAAATGCCTCCGCGTTCCGCAAAATCGACCCCCGAGGGGAATTAATCTATTCCGGTGCGATCATTCAATCTTCTCGGATTGCAGTTTTTTACATTCTCCCCGCCCCTTTCCACCCCCCCTCTCTCTCTCTCTCTTTCTTTTTCTCTCTTCCTATGCGGCACAGTCGCACACGAATATGCTCGGGATAAAACGAATCTGGTGAGTTCGACATTTGATTTCATCGAATGACCTACGCCGCGAATGGCTTTTCATGAAATCTACGTTCCCACATAGCGATCAATTGATTCAAAAATAGGGTAGGTCGTCAATTCGTCGCGGCTTCCAAATCGAAGTGCGCAACGATCAGCGGTCGATTGTAATCGCGATGAATTGCCGAGGAGTTACGATGCAACGTACACCGTTACGTTCATAACGAGTGAAACTAATATCTCGGAACAGCTTTTTCGGAAAAATAGACATTTCCAATATGGAGTTTACCGTTGAAATAATCGGATGTCCGCACAATGCGAGAATATGATACAAAAAGGGGACTTTGCAATTAATTATGTTTCAATATAATTATATTTTAGTATAATTATATTTCACAGTCTCCTTATTTGAAATGTAATTTATAATCTATTGCTAAAAAAATTATAAAATAAAATTCTGACACTCACAAGTAAACCTACCCAAGTGGGGACACACCGATTTTGATGAGTGTTGAATATGTTGTTTTTCAACTCAAAATAAGGGACACGTGTCTTTTTATACGTGCCCATGCGCACTTTTTGGTGGTGACATACCCCTTTGCAGAAAATTTGATTTTCTCTTTCGAGGCGAATATTGACGAAAGTGTAAAAGCTAGAAAAAAATGTTTTAATGAAAGCGGAATGGTTTTAATAGTACTTTAAATGAACTTTATTATATACGGTTGAATTCGTAATAAAATAAGTTTTAATTTGATGCTAAAAAATTTTCAAAATTGTAATAAAAAATTTTGAATGGTGGGGGGTATTTTGGAAAAGAAAAAATTAATAACTTTTTACTCATAGTTTTTAAGTACTATTGAAACCATTCAACGTTTATTTTAAAAAATTTTGTCTAGCTCTTACACTTTCGTCAATATTCGTCCCGAAAGGGAAAATCAAATTTTCTTCAAAGGGGTATTTTACCACCTAAAAGTGCGTATGGGGACGTATAAAAAAATACGTGTCCCTTATTGTAAGCTGAAAAACAACATATTCAACACTCATAAAAATCGGTGTGTCCCCACTTGGTTTACTTGTCAGTAATGGCGAACGATAAACGAATGTAGCATGTAACCAATTGTTATTTATGACATCTTTGGTTCTGCAAAATATTAAAAAATATATTTAGTTAACATAGTATCAGTTAAATTAAAACTCTGCGTATTTTGTTGCAAAACAATAGAATAATAACATTTTGTGTAGAATATTTTTCTAGGAAAAAGTTGTAGAAAGTTAAAACGCCAAGTTTTTATCTTGTCTTCATATTTTATATATGTATATATAAAATGTATTAAAAGTTTTGTACGGCTTTGCTCCATCCAATTAAGAAACTCGTATTTTCATGCGCAAGAGAAACGATAAAAAGATATGGACCGTAATATGAAAAAAAATATCTAAAGATGACATGAAAAACGCTTGAATGAGGGGAAAAGCGAAGAAAGAAATTCCGAAATACGTCCCATCTATCTTTATTCTCACGTCTCGGTATTAATTCTGCAATTATTAATTGCGAGGACATTATTAACTCGCGCCTCGACAGGGAGACAGTGGAGGCAAGGTGACGGGAATCGCTTTAAAATACGCGAGGAATGCGCGCGAGAACGTAAAGGAGGAAGAGACTACGTTGAGATACGATGAAGGTCAGGGAAGCGGCGATAATGAAAGGGGAGTTAATCACTCCGACCAGACAGTACTGCTGACAATACGCGCCGCTGAGAGAAGGCGACTTTATATTTAGGGACGTGAACTATTCGGGCGCTAGTTGGCTATGCAAATGCACTTTCGTA